AAAATGAGCTCGTGGAACCTTTCATGAAAAATAAACTTAATCCTTCTGGACATGATGTGGGATTTGTTTGTAGTATTTTGACATCAAAACTTGAAATTTGAGACAGGAAAGTAAATATCGAGCCAATGGAGTTTGTGTAGAACAGTCATATGAAGGCTGTTCGTTACCTTTTCTTTTTGCTGGTCTCATGACTAGCCCTAAACTGACTATATAAAAATCTCATACATAATGTAGCCACCCTAAATTGAGGGCAGTCAGTCCTTTATATCAGGAAGCAGTATCCTTTATATAATCTGCAAAGATGTGGATGTATGCGCGTTGTCTAAACTAAGGTGTGCACAAGAAAACCTAGGAATTTCACTGCACATTTTTGATAAATAATGAATGAGTGTAGTCTCCAGCTGTATTCTGAGGGTAGCAACACAATTTGCTTTATTCTGTAGTGCTCTTCACTCTGGTGATGTGCATGCATAAATGGTGTCTGTGGATATATGCTTCTGTGTCAAGTTATTAAATACCTAGATAGTGATCACCTGAAACTCCAAACCAGCAGATGCAATTTATGCTTTATTTGTCTGCCCTATGGACAAGGAGAATTTTTAGGTAACATAGTATCAGTGTGAGGCTTTTAATAATCCTAATAGCCATGGCATTATGCTAATCTGCTGTTTAAATGTATTTAGAAAATTAATTGGCTTTTCTCCAAGGTGACTAAGATGAGCAAAATTGGATTAAAAAAATTCTGAACCACAGTAAAATTAAACTTTCTGGCACATGAAATTTTAACAAAGTATTTCAAATATTTATAATTTGTCATCAAATGTATAATTTTGCATAAAATGTGGATGATTATTGCTGCAAAGTTAATAGCATTTTAGAATCATCCAACAGATTCTTTTTCCAATCAGAAGAATTTCACAAAACAGTTCTTGTTTCATGTGTGGTCTAATTATGCTAGGAAAAGCAGATTCTGCCCATTTAAGGAGTGCATTTAGTCTGGATAATGAGAAATTTAGGAGTATCAGTTGTAAGCAGTATACTTCCATTAAGTTGTTTTCTAAATAGCTGTCTGTGAAATGATAATATACTTCCTAATCTGCAGTATTTAACAGCAGTGGATGTTTCAGTAGATCTTAGAGAAAGTAAAATTCCCAGTGTACAGGTGGGATAATGTAAGATATAACTATGTATAGTATACAATTTAGACATAGGTTTTTATAAAAATTTGTGGTTTGCATCCCACATGACAGGCAGTATATAGTGTGATTGTCTGTAATATAAAGCTACATAAAGCTTAATGGCATAATCACTATCTCAGTCCATGCTGCTGGAAAAATGTCCGAGACACTTATTTCAAATCTCCGCTGGTATTTTTCTTCTTAGCCACAAAAATCTCTGTGACAAGTTTTGCAGGAGGATTTCCCATAGACAAAGTTTCTTACCTGAAGTTCTGCAGATCCACATGCTGCATTCCCGACTCTTTGCTGTCTGGCAAGCACTAATTGTTTATGCTAAAGGACTAACAACATACCTGATCCACAGGCTGTATTACTCTTGTCAGGAGCTCTGGGGTTTTAATGGTTCAGGGAGTTGGTATGTCACTTGTGATCCTGCAGCCCTGTTCCCTGGTCCTTTTAGGTACTCTAGGATGTCCAGTATAAACTACATTCAGTTAAACTTTTTTTTCAGGTCAGGTGCAATACACATGTTTGTATGATACTCATCGGCCAAAATGAATATGCCATTAAGTTACATGAAATGTATTGAGGGCTTAGTCCTACCAGACACTGGCAGGTGATCAGTGCTTCAGGGCCTCTGTAACTGGCAAGATTCAGCCCATGGTAATACAGTTATCGCTAGGCTCTGAGGATCTGGATTCCATATCAAGTTCTGACTCAAGTGCTAATCTTCTGCTCAGTAATATTAGGAAGCTTCCATTTTTATTACAATATGAATCTGAGTATAACTAGAATACTAGACAGTAAGGCTCCATTGTGGCTTAACATCTTCTACTCTGTACCAGATAGTGAAAACCTTCAATTTCAGTTCACGTTTCCTCTGTAGGTATGAAACATAGTAGATCTTAACCAGAGGTACAAAGCAGTAGACTCCTAACGCAGTTTAAAATAGCCCTTTGAAAGATTTTATTATCATTTTCCTAGCAAGAGTTAGATCGTGTGTCCAAAAGTCTCTTGGAAAGACAGGTGTCGAGGAGCTCAATATATGTTCTAATGCATCTTGATTTCAGAGGTGTAATTTAATTATGTTGCATGTTGATTAAAATGATGTCTGTGGTGTCTCCTTAGTGGTCTGTATTGTTTTGATTGTTCATAAGGCTTCATATTTTATGTTAATATCAGTACACTGCATGTAAACTTAAATTTCTGTATTATCATACTGAATTATGCTACTGAATTATATTAGACATGCTGGAATTTATTCCCATAAATTTGGGTGAAGGTGTTAGATGGTAGAAGTCTGTCTTTGCTTTCCCAAACAGCACACACTGCACTCTGAAGGCATGTTTCAGTTGTTCATTAGTACGTTGTGCACTCCAGCCTCCTGACCAATTAAGACCTAATCCAAGAAGTCACTGAAATAGGTGGCAGTCTTTCCACTGATCTCAGAAGCTTTGGATTGTACCTTTTGTGGCTTCTAATGTTAACGTGTTAAAGAATCCTGTAATAATCCTGTATTATTTTTCACTCTGTGGGGTTTTATATTTTACCTGTTTATATATTGAGCTGAAATAGTTTTAGAAAATGCAACCAGACCTTCCAACTGCTGTCAGCAAATCCCCATACAAGAGGATGTTTCTCCTGTTTTGCAGTATGATATCAGTACCCACATGTTGTCCAAGTTACTAGAATTCTCCTCAATAGAGCAAAAAACTTAGGAGCACTAAAAAAAAAAAAAGGTGAGAACTAGAATAAGCATAGGGTTGGCTGTGACATTTCCAGGACTTTGGTGCTTCTCTGCAGCCATTGTTTTAAAGTGTGGATGCTAACTCTGCTTTTTGATCATGAGAATCTCAAATGACACGGTAACTATGAAAAGACCATTTATTTGATAGAATTACAAATAAAGTGTAAGTACTAAGGACATAATGCTTTTACATTGTCAAAAGGACTGAGCTGGTTATTCTGATTTAATATACTGAAAGTATTTTGAGAGTCAGTTTTGCAGACTCCCACCTCTGCCCATTCACACAGATGGACACTCTTTTCTAAGTTTATGCTGTCTGTTCGGGCAGCCTGACAGCCCAAACATCTTGCTGCACTGTCTATACAAAAGCACATTTTTGAAACAGGAACAACTCCAGAAAGGGAACGCTGGGGAAAAGGACGAATGTACCACTTTGCTATGTCGCCTTTCAGATGCTTGCTTTATCTTTCTCCATACAGTCTTTTCTTGTTCCTCTTGCACTGGAAGGAGATGAGAGGGGAGAAAAGAAATCCCCCTCCCTTTTCTGTTAGGCCCCTAGCTTTTCCACCTTTTGATCGTTTCCTCAAGCAGCGAGGTTACTCTGTCTGAAACAACGAACTTTTATTTCTGTATCCCCCTGTCCCGGGTGCGTTTTAAGCACTCCAGCGCAGTCCTGTGCCCTCCTCCCCGCGGCCCTCCAGCCGGCCCCGCTCCGCCTCTGCCCCGGCCGCCGTTCGGGAGCGAGCGC